TGATAAGCCCCCAAATCGCACACAACCTTCATAAGTACACACAGTAGTATACTAAAAATTCATTTGGTAGTATTTTTTTATAATATAATGTATTTTAAAATAGTGACTTAGGGGTTAGAATTTTTGTCACTTTTTCTACCGGGACCCAAGCTTACTCTCATGACAACAGTGAAAACGATGAATGACGATTCTCGATTCGGAATGTTTTCACAGTCACAAAGACTACTCATCCGAAATGTACGTGTGGTTCTTCGTAGAGCTTGTTCACTAAACGTGGATATTCTATCGAAAACGAGCTTAAAATTTCAAATTCGCGGAACATCAAGTGATCGACACAAAAATGAAACAAAATGGTTGGCCTTGAAATCTCAAGCAATAGAGGGCGTACACAGCGCGACACGCATCCTTGAGGGATTAGGCAGATTCACACCTTTTAACAATAGAGTTTCCTAACCGTCTTTTTTAGTAACCGTGGTGAGTCTTTGAATTATCGAGGATTTATCTAACCCTCGAAAACTTGACGACAAAGTGAACTTCAATGAGAGTTGTTTTGAGACTAAAAGTCGAACAAAAAACAAGACAGACAAATCTTAAATCTACACCTTTCAATTCATGTTTGCAAAGCAGACATTTCACAGTGTGATCTTTATATAAGCCGGAAGGTTTCTTGTCAAACTAGAATCCAAAGGTGAAGTACAAAGACCTGAAGGATGATGGGATTTTGTTATCAGGTTTAAAGAAACTACGGAAATGAGCCTCAATCAGTAAAGGTTAAGTCCGGGGGTTGAGTTAAAGAGTGTCTCGTTTTGTTAGATGGATGCCATTCAATGTTTGTAAACGTCATAAGCAGCTGAAACCCACTGAGGGACACGTTGATTGGTGTGTGTATGAAATAAACGTGCCTAGTGTAAACTAGAGGGGTTTACTTCTAGCACCACAATCTGACAATTCAAAGAGATTGTTTATTCATTTTTTTTTTAAATTTGTTTCCACTTTCTCTTATCCTTCAAGTGAACGAGTCGTCTGAACCATAGAGGTATATACCTCCATGTCTGAACGGAAACACTCACATCACTGCCCGCTTCGGATATAACATCTTTTGAAAATGTGAACATTGATATGCGTGTTTTCCAGAATTTCTGTGTGCAAAAATGCGCCGTAGAATAGTTTCAATAGCATCAGATTCTCACAGTGCCAGTCAATTGCATTCTATGTAGATCGTAGTCACGCTGTACGAAAATCGCAGCCTTGTAAACGAAAAAACAAACAAACAAAAAACATGTAAACGATTTCAGAGATGCCCTCCCAGGACTTCCGATTCGATCAAAAACGTGAAAGCGATCGGGTATAAAGGAGACTTGACCGATGGATATTGGTTTCTGACGAGAGACAATTCGATGTATTGGGGGGTCTGAGAAGTGGGAGGTTGGGCCACGCCTAATCCATCCTTTCTATTCATTCAGTATTGTGCAGTAATGTAAGGAGTAAAAATAATGAAGAGCATCGATTCTTAAAAGAGATGGTGATGAAAGCGAGAGTGATGAAAGAGAGAGTGACTGTGATTCTCACGTGGTGATATAGTCTTAGAAGTTGTCTATCATGTTTTATAGACACGTGCGTCAGTGAGGAACCGGAAAAGCGTGATCTTAGTAATGAAACTCAGAAAATATTGGAACAACTATTTGATTAACACCGAAGCACGCGTAGATAGTAAATAGTGAAATTTTAACACTTTATTGTATGATCTGCGTTAAAATAATCACAAAATAACGAACATCATTAATTTAAGTGTACATAAACAACCCCTTTAAAGCCACTTAGCTTTAGCGACAAGTTTAATGCAAAGCTTCTCTGGACACTGTACACGTGGATAATAGCCGAATATCCTTCCGTATTACGTACCAGAATATATAATTGACGATTGTTTTAAATGGTTGCTATCGTGTGTGTAATGAGCGGAAATAGCTGGAGCTCAATAAAGGCACCTCTAATAGCAAAATGAAAACAATCTACACTATGCTATGAAAATGGATGCCATTCACTCCAGACGTCCACTCCAAGGAATTGAACATAGCATAGATCTACTCTTTTGGATTTTGTGACAGAAAATCATCCGACTTTTGTGTTGACCTCTGGTTCATCAAAGTCTATACAGGTTCACCTTATAAGTCATTACGCTATTGCTGTATCTGTTGCTGTGTTCTATTGACAAATATATATATATTTTTAAATGATATAGTTTAATTGTGGACCACTTGAAACATATTCTGGTCTTGCATCAAGGTATCTATAAAACCATAATAGGTAATAATTTCATGATCAATTATAATTTGATTTCTCGTCACAATTAGCAATAGTATTTACAGTATTATAAACAATATTTACACTTAATTTGTGAGAAATTTTAATACTGCAAATGATATGTTTTGCTTCTTTCCAAGATGACCAAAAATCAAATTACTCATCATGCATCTCGTCAAACGCACATTTCCTGCTCACACAAATTCAAGTATCCTGCTGATCTGCACTGGCTCGGAAGATGAATTCTGATTGGCTAAAAAAACAAGACTTGTGGCGTTGAATGCACGTTCATTCTCAGTAATGTTATGCAAATTAGAAATTCAAACTAGCTAATCATTTACAACCTTCCAAGCCAGTGCAGATTAGCCCCAAGTATCCAATCATGCATCTTGTCAATTATACATTTCGTGCTTACACAGAACCAAGGATACCATCATGCATCTTGTCAATCATGCATTTCCTGCTCAGAATCAAGTATTCCATCAAGCATCTTGTCAATTATGCATTTCCTGCTTACACAGAATCAAGTATCCCATCATGCATCTTGCCAAATATGCATTTCCTGCTCACACAGAATCAAGTATCCCATCATGCATCTTGTCAATTATGCATTTCCTGCTTACACAGAATCAAGTATCCCATCATGCATCTTGCCAATTATGCATTTCCTGCTCAAACAGAATCAAGTATACCATCATGCATCTTGTCAATCATGCATTTCCTGCTCACAGAATCAAGTATCCCATCATGCATCTTGTCAATCATGCATTTCCTGCTCACAGAATCAAGTATCCCATCATGCATCTTGTCAATTATGCATTTCCTGATCACACAGAATCAAGTATCCCAACATGCATCTTGTCAAAAACTGGATAGTAGATCTGTGTATATCCAGGATTATATCTGTCTGGTTCATTTGGAGGCATACACCAGCTCACAAGATAGTATATGTATGCACACATGTGTACTAATGACAGGGACAGATCTTATCACACCTCTATTACAGGAAGCAATTCCACCAACTAGGATAGTGAAGAGCAATTATTTCTGACATCATTTTTTTAGTGGCTATGATGTCATACTCTACCCACAATCCTTTGTTAGAGAATCAAGATGGTGGACTATACAAGAAAAGTTGAATATCTAGAAAAGGAAAAGTGATATAAAAAAAGCTGTAAATTGCATTCTCCTACATTTGTGGAGCTCTTTCATTAGGGATCATTTATGTAGTTTGACATGCCTTTTAACCCCCATCACCACTGAGTGGGCAGACATACAAGTAAATCCAAGGCATTTTGTAAAATGCACACATTGAGAGAATAGCGTCTGGTCAAACTTAGTCATGTTTTAATAAACCAGTATACAATAAATGTAATTTTAGGCTCATTGACATAGATTAAAATATTCATATTTAAATTTCTGCATTTGCAAACTCTTCTTCTTCCTGCTTGTCTGCTTCGTCAAGTTGTTTCTGAACATCTTCCGGAATCTTAACCTTTTTAAGATCTGACAAATCATCCGGCGGATCATCTCCTATAAGAAGTGAAATCAATTTCTGACATGTAGATTTCACCTTGGGGTCTTTTTCCCATCTATCTAACTCTCTGAGTATAATGTATGTCTTCTTAGCCTTCACGATGTCTCTCCCTTCTTTGGTTGTACATAGCTGAAATGAGGAAATACACATGAAATAAACAAGAAGTAGAAAAAAATTGAATTGATCATTATGAAATGAACAAATCATACCCTAATGTACAATCTTAGTTTGAATGAAATTGACTGTGTGCATTGTAAACCATTGTGAGTAAATTTTGAATATATTGGTCACATTGATGACTGGCTGGACTAAAGAATGATCATAAAAACATTAATACACTTCATTTTCTGACCAAGTTCAAAAATAAGACTTACTGGGGATTAGATGTAAAAGCCTTCTGCAGCCAGTTATTGTAAACAGCGCCCACTAGTGACAGTAATTGGAAATTGAAGGAAGATTGTTATAGAGGGCGATATACAAAACTACTAGACTATACCTGAAAGACTGCTTCTATCAGCATCTGTCTGATATCAGGATCTGGTTCTCTTTTCTTGTCTTCTTCTAGATACTGCAAATCAAACGGCATCCCATCCATTTCGTCCTCAGTTAACTCTTCTGGTCCAGCCAGTGGAAGAAGAAGACGAGGTAAAATATCAACACTGTCGCTTAGCAACCATGAGTGATAATCTGCATATGAGGAGAGAAAGATGAAAATGTTATATGTCACATGTCACCATGGCAACAATTATATGTTAATTAGGCCTTTAATAAAAAATGTTATTTATTAATATTTATTTATTAAGAACGATTAAAATACAGAACTAAGGGTTTTAGTGATATAATATTTACAAGCGTAATAAAAAACACACTTTCTTTACATTTCTTTTAAATGGAGCCAGTGAAATATTGAAAATCCTAATGATTGGATACCATTTGAAAAATAAAACAGGAATGCAGTTAAAAAGTGATTTTCTTTGTCAAAAATTACTCTCCCTCCAGATAAGTGGAATGTCCTAAAATGCTATGTTGACCTCACTGAAACAAGAAGCCAAAGTATAAAATTAAAAAGAAAAATAAAACTTGTAGAGTATTTTTAAACATCATAAACAGGTTGTCATGTTTGTGATATATTCATGCTGTTCGTATAGTGAATGATTTGTGTTTTCATCAACATTATTTTTTCAAATGGACAATTAGCATGGATCTTACAAAAATACAATGGTGCATCTAAAGAACAAGACAATGTTATGACTGGACCACAAAGGTATTAGAGACATTAAGATGCGCATACGAGAACGGAACAAGAACATCACTGCTTTGTGCACGATGATGACATCGGTTGTTTGGTCGTATGGCAATCGTTTTGAACGTGATCAAGGTGACCGACTCATAGTTGATTTCCGAGAGCTTTTCTCGACATTGATAAAACGTTTTATATTAGAGTAATTTTGTATATATATGATGAAATAAGAAATATTGGATGCATTTTAGCTGATATTTATACCCACTGAAAACAAACACAACTGGTCAGCTCATTATGTAAACAAAGCATACGACACCGGGCATTTATGTTCACTTTCTCGAAAGGCGACGTGTACTAACCAGTTACTAAAGTTTAAACCTAACGAAATGAATTATTCTTAAACATTTCAAACTGGCCATTTCCGCGAAGAGACATGTATTTATATGGATGGTAATGCATCACATTGATCTGCTGAAAGAGGTTTCGGCAAACAGACCTGGGACATCAGCAGAGTGGATGGAAATAGCGTGAGCTCTGTCAAATGTCTGGGAACTAACTACTATTCAGATTCCGGACGTGAAATGACATAACAAATTTTATTGGATAGTTATGGATTGACATGGTTCTAATTCTGTTACGTTCCTGTTGTGGGTGCTTGTACTTAATCGTTTTCTGACAACCGTGAACATAACGCAAGCAAAATTAGAACAACATGTTACGTTCCCATTATGTACACAAATCTTAAACTCCATATTGTGACAATTTGAATCTCAATAAAAAATCATATTCACACTCACTGATCTCAATATTAAAAAGAGTAGAAACAAAAGTAAAATAGAATGTGATTTTGTACTGTTAATAACAGATAAGCACACTATTCATTAGAAAATTAAACAATAAATATAAACCAGGCAAGATTTTGCAAACCCGTCAAACAACAGATCAAATTCAGATTCTTAAAACAATCATTTTTTTTTTCAGACAGCACATGGTTGGATTGACCTCCGCTGTGCATTCGTCAATAATCCTGCTGTACTGTCTTAATGCATACTTTGCAGTATCCTTGAAATAACCTCATATTATACATCTTTCAGACTGCTTGATGTAGGATGCCCAAAAGCAAAATGATGAAAATTAACTATGAACTTTGTTTTCAAAAATGTCCACCATATTATAAATACTGCAAAGTAACTCCATATTTGGATTTAGCATTATAATAACATGGTAGGATGCAGACAGCCTGCACAAAAATAAGACAGACTGTAATTTATGGCAATATGACAGATGTACAAAACATAATATCACAGAATTATCATGTATCATAATAATAATACTGTGCACAGCATGTTCCCATTGGTTAATATCAAATGCAGCATGGTTAGCACACATTCTACTTAACTATGTGATAATGTCTCATACATTATTACGTATATTTGCAATACAATCCTGGTATTTGAACAATAATGAATTATCCACAGTGTCCTATTGGATGGCAGGATAACACTGTGGGGGGAGGGAGGGTTCATTATTGCAATTATAAATCTCCACCATCAAAATTAAACAAATTTAGGTCAATTTGGAGGCTTTTTGTTGAAATGAATTTATGTGCAAATACTAGTAGATGTTTACATAATCATGTGATATCAGGGCTGTGTGTGATTGGTCACCAGATTACCTGGCCCATCCATACAACACCTAGAACTATGTTTGTATACTATTATCCCTAATAAGGGGTGAACCATTAAATATTGAGGGAAGGTGTCACTGTTTTACGGACATATTGCAAATAAAAATCACCATCACAACAATTGTGTTTAATTCCTCTGATTATAAATGGTTTTCCCTGGCAATGTTTGACCACGGTAAAACCCACGTACCTGACTCAAAACAGGCATTTTTTAGAGTAGCCACAATTCCACCTCTTCTTATGTCTGATGCTTCATACTGAGTGAACGGTATCAATCTTTGAATAATACATCTATCTTTGTCTAACACAGCTTTTCTTCCTTCGTGTAATTGGGTTAAATTCGATAGAAATGGTCCAAGATAATGAAGATTGTTTTTTGGGTTGAATTTTTCTTTACAAAACGCCTCCACGATTTGATTGAATCCGCCGTCGATTTTCTGCAGATACTGCGTGACTTTGACGCAACATTCGTTATTTCTTGAGAGGTTTGACAGTATCATACATACATAGTCGGCGTGAAGGCTGTCGCTTTTCGTGACGTACTCCAAAAAATGGGGGACGATGTCGTAATCGGCCACGATGCTGGACGCGACTGTTTTATTCGAAGAAAGATTTACGAGTGTTAAATACGAGTCCGTTGCAATCGCATCCTGTGGATGGCGAGTTAGTGGAAATAGTGCCTCGATGTATCGTTTATCAGACGCCATCAACAGGATACCATCCACAGTACCAGTGAGACCTACTATGTGGTGTAAGGCCACGGACAACACATCGATTCGCTCATTCAAAGTGAGAAATGGTATGAGTTCTTCAAGCTCCTTCTTGCCCGCCATGATCGTTCGTTGCCTGTAGGTTGTCTTCGTTGCTTGTAGTTTGTCTTCGTTGTCAGTGATTAAAGATCCTGAATTTCAGAACACGCTGGTTTCGTTGACGGAGGGCGCGGCCATCTTGTGATCACGTTGTTGGTCAGGTGATACTTGCACATAGGCACAAAGTTCAAATGTAAGAATAGTAGTTAGGGGAGGACCATTTGATATTCTGGGGGGATTTTGTGGAAAAAAAATTCTATGACTATGCTTGAACAAAAAAATCCTACAATATATGCATGTAAAAAAAATCTGAAACTTTCAGACTCCCTGAAAAAAAAATCAAAAGAAGACAGGACAAAAAATCAAATGTTTAAAGAATGATTTGTATTAGTCCTTTCCCTCAACAATTTCAACTATGTTGTTTAACAGTTCTTTCACAATGACTTTCTGCTGTATTTCTGTAAAAACTGTCTCCAACAATTCATTTACTGTAAAATGACTAATTTTCACTGGGTTTAAATTTCACTGATTTACCATTTCAGGCATATTCAGTGGGTTTTAAATTCACGGTTTCGTCATTTAGATAATGTGTTCTATGCTAAATTTTACATATTCACTGGGTTTTAATTTAGCGCATTTTCCAGTCAGCGAAATAAGCTAAATTAAAACCCAGTGAATAATTACCCCCTTTACAGTATTATCGATGGGGGTGGTGGATGACGAACGTCTCATCGACTGAGGGCAGTATTGCATTAGGTAACTAAATACGTAACAGACGTAATATTTCAGGTGTGATCCTGATAGAACACGGAAACAATATTGGAATACGAAACTGAATACGAACACTGATACAACACTCAAATTCATCCATAATTCGATCATTCACTAGTGTGATGGTGCTGTTTCGGGTTCTTCGTTGAACCCTTCATCAGTCGGAACAGTACTTGCACATAGGCACAAAGGCAACCAAATTTATTTAGCTGTCAGAATGTTCGACGTTATTACTTTCATTATACAATTTAGTATAAAAATTGATAAATTCTAGATTGTACATATCTGTAACGAGCTCATGGATCAAATTCGTTGTAACTATGGTATCGTTACCACTAATTTTAGTATAGTATTGCTCGTTGTTTAGTTGACGAAGGCTTTCATATATATAGTCAGTTGTATTCATGATTGCAATGGTTTTATTACAATTGTGTTTTCATTTATCGCTGCTCTTTCGGCAAAATTCATGTTTTGTTTGGGTTTATTGGTAGTAATTTTGGATATCTCAACTTTGGTTGCCTCAATGTAATTTTCGAGGCTCCTGTTATACGAGTCTGGTGGGTTCCATGTTGATTTCATTTTGAAAGGATGTTGTTGAGATTGTTTATTGCGAATTAGATATTTGATACGCATTCTCCTGGATAGCATAGACATGTCATTGAGCAGAGTGTGATAGGTTGGCTTAGGTGGGGTTGGTATAAATTTGAGTCCGTTGCCAAGGACAATGATCTCTGTTGGGGTTAATAAAATTTGAAACCAACTGAGCTTGATCAGCCAACCGTTTATTTTTAGCCAGTATTGCATTGTAATTTTTTATTCGTTTGCATCTTACAATGTGTTTCTTATGTGAGAAGTGTCTATTGCGTTTTGTGTTATTGATTGGATGGACAGAGTACATAGTAATAAGAGGATGTGCTGGCCCTGAAAAGGGCCGTTTGGTTTGTGTGCCGAAGCACTGGTTATTTAAGTTTAGAAGTGCGTTTCCTGCCCTTTCAGGGGTCCTGCACTCTTTTCCCCGATTGTTTGAGGAACTGCCTTGGTTTTTCAACAGCCAGAGCCTGATGTTCTTTTCCAGCCAGTCGTTTGATATCTGCAAACGCGCCTTCTCCCCCTTTACCAGAATGGTCTGGAATATTTTCAGGTGGGTCGGTAAATAAATGTCAAGTAGTTTAGTGTACTGTTTAGAAACCTAGTTTGGAAGATCGTGGTTTGGAAGAGAGAAAACATCCAGGAGGTGGACTAATAGCAAAACCCTTTCATCATGTTAAAGAGGGCTATTATACAAGTCATCTACTTTACTTAAATCTACTTACTTACTTGTTATCGTCGCTTGGGACTCAACTCCCGCGCGTGCGCAGGTGATGACCCTCCTGCTTTAAAATACTGAAAAAATAAATAAAAACAACTGTTGAGTGCAAAAAAAAAAAAAAAAAAAAAAAAAATCGAGACAAGGTCTGCTGAAAAAAACCCATATCAGATAGGAGGGAAAAGTAGGCTTCATTTCAATTTCAATCTTCCTGCCCCCCAGTATATCAACTGGTTCGCCTCTTAGTACCCTGGTAATAAGTAGATAAGACAGGGGTATCTTCGTTAGCCGTAATCAATTGTATTTATTTCCGTAATAATGTAATAAAAACAAATAAAAAACTTTAAATTGTAGACACGGACAAGATGTAAAATGTAATCAGCTATTTCATTCGTCCGTAATTTGTACACAGATCTTATTTTTTGTAAACGTATAAAGCATTTTCAACATTAAATGTCGTAATTCGTACGCAAATTATAAAATATATTATTAAATTGTAAAATGGGTTTTGCCATTATATCTGTAAAGTAAAGTGTAAAAAACTATTTTTTTTACTGTGAATGGAACTTTCATTTTATTTCCTGTAAAAACGTAAAATGCCATTTTTATTTCCTGTAACCTGTACCAGCGACTCTCCCCCATCATCTTGCCCCTTCCAATAACTTTATTGTAATCGTATCCTTATAAGCATATTAGCTTGAAAAGTACAATGAAGGACGCCATTGAAATAACAAAATGGTCATAAAGTAAATAAATACAGGAGCAAAAATAAAAATAAAGTGAAATATGTTTTCTTATTATGAGGCAGCTGGTACGTTTGAATTTGTTTTTGTTCTCCTGTTTGCGACTGTTGCACTGTCAGTATTATTTAATATTGCTAAGCTAATTTGTTTATTTGTAGTATTTAGCACAGTTCTATTTGTCTCTTGAATTAATTACTTTTATTTAATAAGAATTACTTTTATATCTATATTGCGTGAATCATTTTTTGTTTGTTCTGCACCCAGGGCATATATCTACTCACCATATACACATTTTCACACATAATCCCGATTGAATACTAATCATGATAACTTTTAAATTAATTTTGTGAGAGAAAATACTCAGTAAATGAATGTCAAAGTTCGGGAGGGACCTTCTAGTTTCGCCTTCGTCAGTCCGTCAGTACGTTCGGAGTGATTTCTCAGAGATGGCTGGACCGATTTTTTGAAACTTGGTACAAAGACATAGTGGTCAACCATACATGTGCATGTCAATTTATTTTCCGATTCGATCAAAAATGGCCGCCAGTCGGCCTGGGATAGCCGACTGGCGGCCATTTTTAATGCCAAAATTCAGTCAAATTCGGTCTTTGTGTGTCCATCGTCATTTCTCGGAGATGGCTTGACCGATTTTGTTTAGAATTGTTACAAAGACAAAGGGACCACCCATACAGATGAACGTTGTTTTACTTTTTTGAAATGATCAAATATGGCTGACTGGCAGCCATTTTGATTGTCAATCATGGCTTTCGTCTGTCCACTGATATTTCCCAGATGCCTTGACTGATTTCAATGATACTAGATACACAGACACAGTGATGAGGTATACAAATTCACATGGATTTATTTCCTGATTTGATAAAATATGGCTGCCTGGTGGCCGATTTTTCCGAGACAGAGTGAGGGAGAGACCACTGGTACAGATGCACATTGATTTTTTTTACAAGGAATCAATTAATGAGCTCATTTGCATATTTAATTATTAATTTGAATTCTTGTTAATATATTGTGTACCAATGGTCCAAATCAGACCAAACTTGGTAGAGACTTGATTTGTCAATATAAGATATATGTTACGCAATATTGATTTTTAATTTAATTAACGATCTCATTTGCATATTTAATTATTATTAATTTGATTTTTTGTTGATATTTTGTGAACTAATACCAAATAACACCAAGCTTGGTATAGACTTACTTTATCTGTCAATATAAGATATGTGCTATGCAATATTGAGTTTCAACCTAATTAATAGGCTCATTTGCATGTTTAATTATTTTTTAATTTTTGTTAAAACTTATGAATTATTAGTCCAAATAAGACCATATTTGGTATAGACTTGCTTGATATGTCGATATAGGGTATGTGCCTTGTAATGTTGATTTTCAACTTAATCTTCCTACCCGTTTTTATACATATTCATAATTCATAGCCAACTATAATCACATCTGACAAGTGGGGGATGTGTCATCTTTAGATGACTTGTTACTTAACTATGATAGAAAGGCTATTGGTCATTCTGGGGTATGGCAATAAACAATCTTAAGTTAACATGGGTAACTCATCCTTAATTTATTCATGGGTAACTCATCCTTAATTTATTCATGGGTAACTCATCCTTAACTCATTAATTTATATATTTAAATAGTTTTTAAGATCGGGTAAAAGTATAATGCATCTTTTGTTGTGACTCCCAAGCCAGTGTAATGGCTGTTCGATTTAACAGGCGGGAATTGATTCATATACCGAGCATTCACTGTATAGAAATTACCTATTGGGAACGTGCCACTGAAATGGGTCATGTATTTTGAATATTCCAAATAGGTTTACATTCAGGGAACATGTACAATGTATATCTGGCAGACTATCGCGGTCTGGGGTACCTGCTTTTGAATGAATGAATGAATATGCATCTGTATTCAAGAATCGAAATCCCGCGTAAATATCGTTAAACTGACTGATTTCACATTTGACAATTTAAATTAAAACCACTGTAGTTACACGAAATGTTTGTCTATATTAGGTAATAAACTTTGTATATTGATAGATACATTGAACTATGATTTATTATAAACTGAAAACACTGTTCTTGTAGCATATATCAAAGTAATCGTTTGATGAAACAACAGAATTCTTAAGTAATCATATGCACTGGTTGTTTTGGTTTAACACTAATACTGCATATAAAGATGATTAAATCTTACCAAAATATTTTTGTATACAGAGATGAACAAAGTAACCACACACAGACCATAAAATGCGATGTGAAAACTCGGGTCGAGTTGTCGCCAT